ATGGGTCAATATTTCTAACGTCCTTATTCTCATAGTACCGATCACCTACTATGTTCTCAACCAATATTAACTATTAATACCATTAGCTCAACTGTCCGTTCCCAGCGATAGAATTCATTCAGGTCCGTTCTGCCTTCGTACCTCCCAAACCTCTTTAGGCACTGCCCCCATGTTGATTGTTGGCGAGTGTTTCCAGAATAAGAGAATCGCCATGAGAACGCAAGAAGTCTTGGATCACTGTCTCAGGGCCAGGTCACTACCCAATGCCACGGCCCTTTGACTACGGAAAACCTCTCCCTTTAAAGATTTCCTATAATAGGAAATTCACTAGAGATGTTGCAATAAAGACGAGGCAGGCAACCACTCTTGCCTCCATCTCTGGGAAGCTCTAGCATTCATTCATCATTCATTTGTTATATATTCAACGAATACTTACTGAGCCCCCACTGGGCTCCAGATTCTGCACGGGGCTGGGGAAAGCACTGGTAATAAAATGAAGCCATGGACTCTGTAGATCTCACAATCAAGATCTTGAGAGATCTCACAATCTCTCTTTCAAAATAAATAAGCATGAAAAAAAATTTTTTAATTAAAAATAAAATACATCAACTGTCTTTCGAACTTTGTGAACCCAGGTTTTCTGCCAAGGATTTTCTTTTTTTTCTTTTTTAATATTTTTATTTATTTCTAGGAGAGAGAGAGACTGCGTGAGCAGGGGAGGGTCAGAGAGAGAGGGAGTCACAGACTGACAGGCTCTGAGCTGGCAGTCAGCACAGAGCCCGACGCGGGGATTACTTTGCTTACCATCTGTTCTGACATACACACTGACTTTAGAACAGATCCCTGTGGAAGATCCCACACTGTATCATCATCATCATCCTTATTTTACAGATCAGGACACTGGGCTCAGAGACGTTAAGTAGTTTGTCCAAGGTCAAATAGAGAGGAAGGTGGAGTCGGGATTTGAGCTAATATCATCTGACTCAAATCTTACCCAAAGGATCCCCTACCTCTGAGTTCTTTTTCTTCCCAGTGAGCTAGAGCCACTTCCCTTTGATTCTACTGTGGGGATTTAAACGGCACGGATGTGCTCTGTCTCCAGAACAGTGGCCCCCGGGAGGCTTAGAGAGAGCTATCCAGTGTCCCTCCTCACCCCTTCCCGGGCCTTTCCTTCTCACCGGGTCCCACGCTCACACGGGCTCCGACCACCCTCTGCCACTGACACCACATCCCTCCGCACCCCCAACACCCTTGAGCAGAACACAGTCCACTGTTCAGGGCTGTCCCCCTGCCTAGAACGACACAGGATTCCCGGTCAGGTGACCAAGTGGGATCAGCATTCATCGCTGACTTTTCATAGAAACGAGGGCACGAGAAATACTTCACTTTCCTCTGAAATGTACTTTCAGAAAACCAGCAGCAAGAGTGTGATGAGAAATGACAAATGCCCTACAGGCCTCCGTGTGGGGGGAGAGGGCGGGGAAAGTGGTGATTTGCAGGGCCCACGCCTTACACACAGGGGTGTCCTCTCGTCAGCTCCAGGTGGGGGTCCCGGGAAGCAACGTGGGTGGACAGTTACCTGACCCTGTGATTTTCATAAAAAGCTGGAAACCCACGTTTCGATGTGAATTTGACAATTTTTACAGGAAGGCAAAAAAATGAATATTACACCCCCGCACCCTTCCCCACACTACTATTAAGATGCATCCTCTGGGGCGCCTGGGTGGCTCAGTCGGTTAAGCGTCCAACTTTGACTCAGGTCATGATCTCACGGTTCGTGGGTTCGAGCCTCGTGTCAGACTCTGTGCTGACAGCTCAGCTCAGAGCCTGGAGCCTGTTTCAGATTCTGTACCTCCCTCTCTCTCTGACCCTCTCCTGCTCACGCTCTCTCTCTCAGAAATAAAAAACATTAAAAAAAAAAAAAAAAGATGCATCCTCTCTTGTGTGTATGATTTTTTTACATAGAAGTTCTCAACATAAAATTTATCCCTCCCAATCTTGCCAGATTTGGCCAAGCTTCCAGCCTTCCAAAGTCATTTGTGTCCTCAGATTCTGCCCCTCCAACGTCACTGAACCCCAAGCCAAAGAAGCCAATCTGTTTACAATTTACATCTTCCTAAATTTACACTTTTCCCCTTATTACCTAAATCACGGTCCCAATGCACAGAGTTTCCAAGGCATGAAGATCTTTGGTGAGCCCTAGAAGATTCTCCCTGGGGATCATCATGTTTTCTGCAGTTGAGCAGGCTGAGGGGGTCTTCCCGAGGGGTGCTAGCAAATGTACCCCGTGCTTCAGAAATGCCCCTGGGATGACACGGAAGCCAGGGCACAGCTCTGCAGGGGACACTGCTTGTCTCAGAGCCGAGGTGACATTTCCTGCAAATAGTGACACTAACCCCGTGACAAATGCATCCCATCCTGTTCATTAATACCCGTCCCTTGATTCCGGCCCTGGGCTTTGCTACAGAGCCCGGGCTCCCCTAGAAAAGTCTCAAAAGCAGCTCCAACTTGATGGGCTGCTCACTCTGGTTTGGTCTTTGGAAGATCAGGCCATAATTTGCTGGAAGGAAGCTCCAAACTTCATGAGGCCACAAAAGGGACGGCTAAGTTAAAAACAAACACAAAACCAAAAAACAACAACAACAACAAAAAAAAACCCCACCTAAACTACTGTCTTCCGAAGCAACTCATCAGGCTGCGCAGAAGATGTTTCTAGTTCACTTCTGCGAAGGGGAAGCCACCAAGTAAAGGCAATAATCCAAGACAATGGAGGTGGGACCTCACCCAGGAACCCTCCACCCTAGGCTCTCAGCAGTGAACACATGTCAAGGGGCTGCAGACGTAGGCCATTTGTTTGGGCTGCCATCACCCAGATATCACCTTCATATGCCACCACCCATGTCTCCCTCTGGAAAGACACGGGGACTGTAAATAATGTGCATTGTCAAAGGCAATCAAGGGCGATGCACCACCAGTATTTCTCATTCCGTGAGATGAGCTCCTATGACTTGGCTCAGATCTTCCTAAACTCTGAATATAGCCGGCCTTAGATTTGTCTAATCAAACCTGCCCACTGAGTACAAGGCCGCCAGAAGCCCCAGGGCAAGGCTGCGTGTGCTTTGAAGCCAATCCCCTTTCTGTCTCCAGGGAGAGTTAGCATTCCAAGCCCAGGAAGCGGGCTGTGCCAAATTTGGGTTTCCTAAGGATTAACTTTTTTTTTTTTTAATTAGGCCTCACAGAAGCATCTATTCTTCTTTATCAAAACCATCTCAGGCTTGAGGTACAGCCTCCTGGAGGTCACAATGGGAAGAAAGCTGCCCCTCCCAGATCTTCTCTACCCCAGGGAGAACCCTGGAGTCCTTTCGTCTACCTGAAATTCTTCAGCCGGGGACCAAGTTCCTTCTAACCTCTAAACAGAAACCTGTGGAGTGTGACGAAAGACAGAGCTCAGTCGTTTTCTAAAATGAATGAATGGACAGGCCCCAGGGGCTCCCTTAGCAAGTTAAGGGAGAAAGGACCTTCTGAAGCTTTAAGTCTTTTCTTCGTGAAGAATGGAAAATGCTGCAAAAGGAAATGGCCAATGAGCATGCCAAGAAAAAACAGGCAACATCTCTAAATGTGGTGGTTCAAACAGACCCCTGCAAAGAACGTGAAATAACCCACAGGCTGATCCCTGGCTGAAGGTGGAGTCCTAAATACAGCTAATTAAAACGAAGAATCCAGAAGAAGTGCCAGTGGCCAGACACACAAGCTGTGAGCTGAATCTCACTGGTACTCAAATTAAGTTAGGTGGCACAGGGAGGGCCTTTTATTTTCATGTATATTAACAAAAAAAAACTAGTACATCAAGATCATAGATTGTAATGTCTTCATAATGAGGCACAAAGGCATACTGGTTATTTTAAATAGAAGTTACTTAAGAGATAAGCTATATAAGGCCACTCAGCTCCTCCCCTCGGTGACCCTAAATACCCCATGTGAAAGGTACTCTCCCTGAGTCAGCCAGTCAAGAGACATCCTTATCACCGAGCTGGGAAATTTAGAGAGAACTGTGGGACAAGAAAGCTGTATAGGGGCGCCTGGGTGGTTTAGTCGGTTAAGCGTCCGACTTTCGCTCAGGTCATGATCTCGCGGTTCGTGGGTTCAAGCCCCGCGTCAAGCTCTGTGCTGACTGCCAGCTCAGAGCCTGGAGCCTGTTTCAGAGTCTGTGTCTCCCTCTCTCTCTGACCCTCCCCTGCTCACGCTGTCTCTGTCTCTCTCCTAGAAATAAATTAAAAAAAAAAAAAGAAAGCTGTATAAACGTCCCTTGTTCCTTTTTACTAATTTACTGGCCCAGCCGCCATTCTTGATAGAATTCCTTATCAGGTGCTTAGCTGAGCTGTCTGGTAGAATTCCTTATCAGTGAAGCCCCCAAAGTAAAGTTTTCTCTGTCCTGTCAAATCCACACAGATTCATTGTCTTTCTGCCCAAAAAAATACAAAAACTGCCTGCCTTGGTCGTTCTGTTAGGCCTCAGTTTCCTGATTGGGCCTCTGTGCACACTTCAAATACTTTGGTTATTTCCTCCTGTGAGTCTGCCTCCTGTCAATTTAATTCTCAGTCCAGCTAGAAGAATCTGAAGGGTAGAGGGAGAATTTTTCCTTCCCTTCAGAGGCTAAATTAGTAGTTAAGTTTGAAAGAGTGGGACATTTAAAGAAAATACACTGAGTAAATAATGTTATTTATACAAGAAGTTGGCAAACATTGAGATGACATGTGGAAGCTAAAATTAGGAAAATATTGTCCTATGAACAAAAGGAGGAGAAGAAAATTATTTCTGCTCCAGGTGCCGGGGGCCCCCACTCCGGGAGGGAAACAGCGCACCCACGCGTCCCCTCTGGAGCCGGCCAGCCCCCACTCCTCAGTGTGGCCACCGTGGCGCAGCCCGGCGGAACCAGGGACAGGGGGAGGGGCCCCGAGAGGTTTGACCCCTGGGAGGCCCAGCGGTGAGGCCCCTCGTACCTTAATGACATCTTCATCCGCAGACCTGCACTCCACGGCCTCGGACACATCCACCACGGAGCCATCCTCCTGAACGGCCACGACCTTGACGGGAACCGAGACAGCCTTCCCGGTGAGGATGGCCGTGTTCAGCACCTCCGTGTCCTGCAGGGAGAGCAGAGGGCGCAGGTCACACGCAGGTAAGCCCGCGAGCAGGCACCTTCCCCCTCCCCCTGCCCGTAAAACTCGTCTGCATGGACCAAGTCCTGAGGCCCCACAATACAGCAGCTCTGGGCGTCGGGGACATTCCATCCCAGGCTGAGCTCACACAGCCTGACAACCACACTTCCTAACTCTGCCCCCCAGGGACAGGGGCATCGTCACCCCCACCAGGACCCCTCCTGCCACCACCCCCACGCCCCAGCCTGCCACCCGGCTCACACACCACACGGGGTGCTTTCCAACGGTCCCCAAATCTCCACACCAGGGTCACTTGGTAAGTGACCGCCTGTGCTCCGAGCTCATTAACGCCGTGAACGTGGCCCTGACTGTAGTTTCAGATTAAGAAGGTAAGTAACTGGGGCCCATGGTGGTTCAGTCGGTTAAGGGTCCGACTTTGGCTCAGGTCATGATCTCACAGCTCAAGGGTTCGAGCCTCACGTCGGGCTCTGTGCTGACAGCATGGATCCTGCTTTGGATCCTCTCCCCCTCTCTCTCTGCCTCTCTCCCACTAGTGCTCACTCTCCCTCTCTCTCAAAAATAAACATTAATAAAAAGATTCTTTACAAAAGAAGGACGAGGAGGAGGAGGAGGAGACAAGTAACAGCACAAAGAACAGAGAACTAAGCATGGAAAATCAGCCCCTGACATCTGGAGCCGACCTCCAGCACCTTCCTCCCCCAGCCTCCCATGTCACCCAGGTCCCCTCCAGGCCCAGGGATCCGAGAGCGCTGGCGCCATGTCACCGGGTCCCCTCCAGGCCCAGGGATCCGAGAGCGCTGGCGCCATGTCACCGGGTCCCCTCCAGGCCCAGGGATCCGAGAGCGCTGGCGCCATGTCACCGGGTCCCTTCTAGGCCCAGGGGTCCATGGGTACCATGTCAGTGTCTGTCTTCCTCTGCTCCCCAGGGGCCTTTGACTCATCCCCCGCCTGCCACATTCCTCCTGCCCCACGATCACTGCCACGGAGAGACCCTCCTGTCACGGGGACAGCCACAACGCCCCCCACCTCCCTTGTGCACTCTCCCCACGACAGCTGAAGAGCATCCTTTGTGTTTCAGCAGAATTCACACCTTTTCTCTCCTAGACGGCAACTCTTTGAAAGCCTCTTACCGTTTGTTCTTAAGATAAAGTCCACACTCTCCGCCCGCCCGCAGTGATCTGACCCCGACGCCCCCGCCGGCTCTCTCGCTCTTCCCACCGTCCCTCCTCACGGGAGCCCCACAGACTCCCCCCAGTCCTCACCCCCCACCCCGTGCCTCCTGCTCGCCCCCACGCAGAGCCTCCGCCTCGCCCGCCCGCCTCAGCCTCCGTGCCGCTTCTTCGGGGGGACGGGGCTTTCTGCCCCCCGCGGTGTGAACGGCCTGGTCTGTGCTGCAGGGGAATCACCCCAGCGCTCACCTGTGCTCACCTCTAACTACTCATTAGACTGTAAACTCCCCAAGGTCTCAGCCACCTTTGTCCTGACCTGCATCACGTCCCCGGAAGCGGGGACGGTGCCCGGTGTGTGAGAGGCCGTGCAGAAGGGAGGCCTCGTGCTCTGGGACTGGACGGGCTGGCTTTGAAACTGGCTCAGCCTCCGTTTCAGCGGATCTGAAGTCCCAGGAAATCCGACTCAACTGAAACAACCCATCACGGGTTTGATTACCGCTCTCACATAACCCAGATCTGGAGGGTCAGGCTGCTGACTCTGGTCCAGTGACTCCGGGAGGTCACAGGGCCACTTCTCTGCTGTTCTCTTGGCCACCCCCTCAAGCTAGCAAGATGGCGCCCATCACACCGGCCATCTGTCAGCTGTCTAAGCAGGGGGAAGGCAGGATGCGGAAAGAGTGCACCTGCTCCTTCTCACCGGGAAGTCCAGGGCTCGTCACACGGACGACCACCTGCGGGGGAGGCTGGGGGAGTGGGCGTCCGTAGTGGAGCTGGCTGTGGAGTGGGGGCATGAAGATGGCTTCTAATGGTCCCTTACCAGGCCCACCACAGCTCCTTCCCTCCCCCTGTGCCTGAGTTCCCTGATCTGGAACACGGGGAGAATAAAAGCACTACCACGTGGCGACCTCATGAAAGTTTAACGAAACTCTCTATGTACAAAGTTTAGAACAGATTTGGTGTAAAATGAACAAGAGCTCCATCAATATGGCTGCTCCATCCAGTAGACGCTATGAGAGGTTTGCTCCATGAATGAATTAAAGAACCACCGGGTAGGTTCACAAAGGGACTCTGGTAAAGATGCTCCTTCCACACTCATGTGAAGAGTAAAAGACAACTAGAGAAGGCGGCGGGAAGCCGTGCAATGCCGCTCTGCGGAAAGATCCTCCAAACACTCACGGTTGGCTCCACCACAATCCACCCAATGGAAAATTACTTCATGTTCTCTTTTCATTCTTAGATCCCCTAGTCTCAGCTCAAGCACTAAGTGGGGCCCCTATCTGATTTTCTAAATTGCCCCCTCATTATCCACTTTAAACTTGAAGATGGGTAAGAGATGGAGTCCATGAGTAATAATAAATAATAATAATAATTAATAGGCAGTACTCTAAGTACTTTACATGTAATTAATTGCTTGTTCATTTTACTCAACAACCCTTCCAAGATAGTTCCTAGTATTATTCCCGGTTTGTAGATTATTTGTTATTCATTGATATTAAACCTGAAAATAATATCTGCTTATCAATAAAAAACACCAACTTGGTAGTATTTGTAAACAGTGCTGATTCAATCTAAGAAAGATGAAAAAAATAAGTTGGTTTTTGTTTTTACATATGTCCTCTCCCTGGACAGGCTCTCAAGGAGTGAAGTCAAAGCACCATATAATTCTGGTCCATGTTCCTGAGTATTCCGTTCTCCCCAGGCACATGAACGGACGCACCTTTATATTTCAGCAAGGACGGGAAACAGGAGACACTGCAGAAATTGAGACGACAACTCATCAAAGGTGGGGCAGTGGTGTGGGTGTGGGTGTAATCATCATGTGTACGAAGATCAGACACTGTATCATGATTCCAAAACAAATGGCTAAATTCTACTCACAGTGCAACTGGGAAAATCGATAGGGGAGCGTTTGCTGTGTGTAATGGACAGGCATTAATTCTGCTGGGGAGTGTTCATCGAGGCTGAAAATCCACCCAGCTTTCTGTTTGAAATGACAACATTTTGTTTTTCCTTGGGGTATCATCCTACACTGCTACCAATGAATGCGGCTTAGATGCTGCTGACCCCAGACCACCGAGTCAGGCTTCACAGATGAGCACACAAACCAAACGTGGCCCCTCAAGGAGGTGGATTCAAGTGAAACACAGACAAAGGAAATCAAAGACAAGAGCAGGATAGGACAGAGTCCTGGGAAGGTTTCTGGGTTTCTGAGTCCAGACACATCTGTGTCTTCTATCTTTGGAAATTTAGGTATATATACATATATATATATAAGTGTATATATATACATATATATATATAAATATATATGTATATATTTACTTAAGCCTATCTTATTTTTTAATTTTTTAAAAAAATGTTTATTTATCTTGGAGAAAGACATGGGTGGGGGTGCAGAGAGACAGGGAGACAAGGAATCCCAAGCAGGCTCCACACCCTCAGTGTAGAGCCTAATGCGGGACCCGAATCCATGAACCTGAGCTGAAATCAAGAGTCATTCACTTAACCAATGGAGCCACCCAGGAGCCACCCAGGTGCCTCAAGCCGATGTTAATTATAAGCCAACTTACAACTGAAAGTCTTGACGAATGCGTGTGAGCATAAGCAACATGCAAGGCTCTAAAATGAATGCCAATCTCTACTCTGCAGAAGCTCACAGCCTTCAAGAAAGACACCACAACAAGTTTATCAAACTGAGTTTCAAGGGAGGTGACTTTATTTTTTATAACAACCAATCCCTGGCTGATCCAAGCCGGGGCTTTTACCCCAAATACCTTTGTGACCAACCATGTTTCTTCTTGTAGTTTTTGCATGTGTGGCTGAGATTTTTGCAACCGTGTTTTCTAGTGGCCATCGACGGCCTCCCCAAAGTCCCAAAGGTAACCCCACCTGCCTCTGACACAATGAGAAAGTGATTTATCTTGTGAAATATTACATCTAAATCCTCCCCTGCTGCCACAGACTGCTAAAAATTCACCATCTATCATAATACAAGTCTTTTATTCTGCTCCTATTTGTGCAAGCTCTAGGTTTTATGCCTTGAAAACATATTTATATTCCTCTATGAAGAGGAGTTTCCACTAATGTTGCACACTACAGTAGCATCAGTGAAAATAGCAGAGTAAGGACTTCCACAAAGTCTCTCCATAAAAGCAAGGAGAAAACTGGACAAAAAATATATATATATAAAGAATTAAAAATCAACCTTTTTAGAACTCTGGAAATGAAACAAAGGCTATGCAACCAGGGGAGCATTTAGTCAAGAAAAATGGCTAAATCTTGGTTAAAAAAGAGAGAACTGTGTGGCATTTTAACTCGGCTTATTCCCATCCCCTACTTCCCAGCTCTGTTGTAGCTTTAAAGAAATACAGCTCACTGTCACAGTAAAAGCTCCTGGGTTCGCAGGACAAAAGCCACCAGAGAGAGAGCAGATCAGGGTTGGAGATCTTTCAGACCCTAATTCTCAAAGAACTGCCACTATTTCACTTGCTGATGGCTCCCTGGAAGATCCCACTGGCAAGACTGTCAGCGTTGACTTGACTCTGAGTTTACCCAGTGTGAAAAGCTTGCTCCCTAGAGGTATTTGTTCAAAGCAATTGTAGGTGATTGCTTAACTTCATAGCTGCCTGGAGGCGCTGAATAAAGTTTGGTGCAGAAAAAAAAAAAATACCTAGAGGTACTTTGAAAAGCTAATAGTGCCCTGGGGAACGTGCAAGGCCAAGCTTAAACTCCGGACTGTGTGCCTGTCCCGGACTGTGTTCAGACCCAGAAAAAGACCGGAGAAGGCGCTAAGCT